GGGGAGGGCTTGGGAAAGCGGGTGGGTAGGATTGTCTTGACATCCGCTTACGGATCCAGGGGGCATTTTCAGTGTTCTGCTGCAAAGCCCTTGATTTCAGTTACTGTGACATTCCCTTCCTGATAGGAAAAGCTGCGACGCTACAGGCAAAACGTATACCTGCGGTGTCCAGAAATGCCTCTGGCTACAGCCCCACAGACGCTGGAGGACTCGGGCCCTGCAGCAAAGGCTACAGCGTAACTCGTCCCTGCAGCCAGGCAGGAAAGCCCTTGGCGGGGAGGGTTGCACAGAACTGGTAGTTCTCTTCATAATGCAGGAGCCACAGGCAAAATATGACTTAGTTAAAAACCTGTATCCTGGCTTACTTAGCATTTGGCACTTCTGTTTAAGCATGATAAATTTCTTTTTCTTCTTTTATCTCAGATAGTCACAACAGGAAATGGGCTCTGTAGGACTGGAATATCCAACACTATCATGGTAATATTTTCCCTCTGTTTCAGGAAGCTTTGTGCAAGAGTGAAAGAGCTCGAGTGATGGAAAGCCAGAAGTATGCTCCGGTGTGGACACTCAGGAAGAGCCCCCCACCAGACTGGTATCTACCCCTTGACCAGGACAAACCAAATTAGGAAGATTGTTTGCTGTGTTTGGTCAGTAACTTAATACACAATTCAGAACTGTGCTGCCTTTTTTTTCTTCCATGTCATCTTGAAGTTATACAACTGTAGCTCTGCCCTGCGATACTTGAGCACTCTTTCAAAAGTACTGAGAGTTTATTTAAACGCTGAGTATTTTTTAAAGGGAGCGTTGAGGTGCTTAATTCGTCTCCGGTCTTGTATTGCTATCTTACACTTTAGGATTTTGTCTCAGCAACTCAGCAGGCAACTCCCAAATTAATGCACACATGATCCAGCTCCTCTTGCTAGATCAGGGCCTCTTCCCCTACCAGCTGGTGGTGTGCACTTTTGGAACAAGGTACCAACCCCAGGCCTGCAAATGGGAAAAAAAACAAGCTGGGAATCCTCCCTCCAGTTCAGGACAATCCCAACCACTGGCATTTAAAGGCATTTCCCAGAACAGGATTGTTGTGGGTTAAGAGCTTCTCACCTGATGGGGAGGTGCTGCAGATCCTGAAACTGCCCCTTTGTGGAGCTACTCTTGAATGATGGTGTGTGTTGTGGTAGTATTCAAAACTACTACAAAAATAAAGGTTTAAACAAATGTAGAGAGAGATCTGGTTTGGTTTAGGGCAAACCCGTGGAAACTTGGTTACACGAGTTATGTGGCAATATAATAAAATAAAAAAACTGGCTTTGTCGCTGGGTAAGGTTGTGTAGCTTGGCTGGGTGTCTTACTACCTGGATAATTCCTAAAACATCCAAACACACAGATACTTCACTAATGTTTTATTTACAGTCACACCTGCAGCGTTGTAACCTGCAGGAAGAATTGTGTGCTCTTTCTCCCTTCAGTCCTTCCTTCAGTTGCTGAGCAGCTCCTGGCGGGTGCCCCACGCCCTCCTCCCTCACTGTGTGTACACCTTGGTGATATCAACGCACTTTCCCTCGGGGGGGTCATAGCCAGGAAGGGGGGGGGTGTAGGTGGGTCCGTCCCTCTGGAAGGGGAACAGCCCCTCATCCCGGCGGATGGCTGCCTGGTACAGCTCCTCGGATTCCAGGCGCAGTTCCTTTAGTGCCTCTTGCTGAGATTCCACAAGGCGCTGAATTCCTTTCTTTTCTGCCTCATCTTGCTTCTGCTTAAACAAACACCACTTCTTCAGAAGTAAAACTCTTCTTTCAGTCTCTTCAGGAGACAGAGGGGGAAGGCTTCGCACCCTGGCAAAGAGTGGGGTAACATTGTGAGAGACAAACAGCCTGACTTCAAAGACCAAATCAAAAAAATCAAACCACTAAAACAACAACAACAACAGAACCACCAAACCCAGAGAATACATTTAGTTTACTAATAATTTAGTCTGTCTGCAAGGACACCCCAGTCATTCTAACAGGAAATTCATGTTACTGTTTTTTCATTACTTTTAGCAAGAACAAATAAAATTTCCTTTTCATGTTTTTGTCCTTATGGAAGTGGATAAGGTTTTATACCAAGGCTGGCTGCAGTTGTGCAGAGAAAGAAATTCACTGCAAATGCAGGCACGTGGTAAAACCAGAGCCACTGACCTGTTGCTGTCTGAGTACTTGAGTGGGGTTATAAAATCTTCAATGGGAATCAGTTCTGGGGCAGCTTTTTCCAACTTCTTAAGCTTCTTTTTCATACGATCCTTCTGTGCTTGCTCTCTCTTCACATCCACTTTCTTCTTCTTCTTTGGTTGTGCTCTACAAGGGAAATAGTAAATAAAAAAAGTATTTTGTCCTTTGATTCAACACCAGCAACTTTCACTTTAGTTTTCCAAGGACTGTTCCTTCCCATTGCTTAATTTAGTCCCTAATAGAAGTTCCAGCCATGAACTTTATTCAAGTAGTGGAATTTCCACTTAAACATGCACAGGTAAAGGTTAATTTGGACTTGAGAAGATTTGTGTTCCCCGTGCTTGAGAACACTGCTCTGTAACTCCAAGGCAGCTGCACTCACCTCACGGGGAGGGATGTCCTGAGGGTCAGCACAGAGCTCTGCCAGTGACTCCCTCGGAGCGGGCCCCTCTGGGGCAGCCACGAGCTGCAGGAGGAACAGGAACATAAAGCGTGAGGAGAAACCGACTCTGGTGGCACAAGAGCTACTTGTTAGTCAGGAGTGAGTGATGAGTTTTGAACCATCTCAACTCAGGGCAGGATCCAGCGTTTGCCCAGAGATGACCTCGAACTCTCCAGCGAGGTCACTGAACCCAAACCCAGGCTGGTCGGTGTTGTGCGCCCACAGGATACCGAGGAGCAAAACACAGACTTTTTTTTAGGTAGGTTACAGTAACTTTAAGCTCTGACAACGGCTCGTTTAAGGTGTTGGTCTGGGAGAGACAAAAGCACCGCCGTTCGGATTAGGAGACATGTTACTCAGATCTCGGCAGTGTTATGGGAGGGCGAACCAGGTGCCC